TGTGTTTTGACGTTGCCTGCTATCTTTTCCTGCTGTGTCTTGCCAGCAATATTTTGGTTGCTACACTTTTTCAGTACTGTTGCTGCCCTGTTCCTGCTGTGTCTTGCCTGCCATATTTTGACTGATACACGTACTGTTGCTGCCCTGCCCGGTCCTTTTGAAGAGCCAAGTTCACTCAATCAGTCATTGCCTCTGCTCCTGCTTGCCTGTGCTGCAGCAAATTCCGGTGTGGTGGCGCTGGTTCTACTGGATTAACCCTGTCTCCTGGACCCTCTATGGCCTCAACGCCTCACAGGTAATAACCCCCGTCCACATGCTGCACACATGCTCTTGTCGCCTCTCAATGCCCTCATGCTGCATACATTCTCTTGCTGCTCATTCTTGTTTCTGTTTTCTGGTGTCGTGCTGCTCATGCTGCTGCTACTGCTCACCACACGCATTTTCCCTGCCCTGCATGGGCAATCCCTGTGTTTCTCTTCTGCACACCTACAACCCCCTCTTCCACTGTCCACACCCACAACCTTCCTTGGGTTGGGTCGCCCGTCCATAGCACCAGCTATGATCCTCCATTGATTAGCTGCTGCATGCCTGTTCCTTCTATCAGCCCCAAGGCACCCTCATTGACCCCCTTCCTTCCATCCCTCTGCCTCTCCCCCTCCTCACTCCTCTTGATCGCAGCTGGGAGACGTGACGACACCACTGCAGGTGCCAGGGGTGACCCCGGACCCAACGGTGCAGGCGTATCTGGAGGAGGTGTTTGGCTACCAGCACTCGTGGCTCGGCTATGTTGTGCTTGTCAACATCGGATTCATCATCCTCTTTTTTACTGTCTTCGCTTATGCGCTCAAGAAGCTCAACTTCCAAAATCGCTAACCAGTCATCATATGAACATGGTGGATGATTTTTTCCCCTCTATTTCAGATTATTGTAACTTTCTGTAGTTACACCTGTGTATGATTGTTGAATGGGAGCTGCTTTTGCCCATATCAGGCTAATGACGCCCTCTTGCCTACAAATAAAGTCGCCCATATCAGGTTGGTTTTGGGATGGTCTGAAAAACAGAGTTGGCTGATACGCATACCCTACGTTCTTGGATTCTATGCGGTCTACTATCACGGGCGCAGAATCATTCTAAGAGCTCACTTGCTCTTGGTAGCTCCTTGCACAATAATTGCAGAATACACAAGCTGGTTCAATCTTGTGACAGCAGAGCCCCAACAATGCAAGTGAAACTGCTCTTGTTTCAATATTCCACTTGCACTCTGGGTCTTGTGTGCCCAACCTTCCGGTCGTGCATAGCAGGGTCCTTGTTATCAGACCGAATTGGTCTGATGGTCTGAAAATCAGACCTACTTTTTCTATTTCATCTGATTTTGAAGACAAGCAATTTTAGTTCGTCTGATCCATAAGACCAGAAATTTTATTTCGTCTGGAAAATCATACTCGGCGTTATACTTCATCTGAGAAATCAGATAATGCGTACGTTTTCGTCTGACACCAAAGTACCGAGTGCTTCCCTCTTCCCCCTACCCCCCACGCGCTTCAGCCTCCCAAGACCCGAATTCCCTCGCTCCTCCCCACTACCTCGAATTCCCTCCCGCCCCGCCACAATCTCCTAAATCAGCACTCGTGCCCCTTCCCCCCCTGTCCGTCTCGTACGTAGCCCAAGCCCCCCACTCCCCTGTCTCTCGCAGGCCAACACCTGCCCCACTGCCCCATTCCCGCTCTCGCGCGTCGCAGCCCAAACCTGTTTAGGTTGTGTCGCTCTGTCTGATACAAGTAAAACAGTACACAATTCAAATTTGAAAAAACAAAAACAGACCACTATTATTTCATCTGAAATTTCAGACATGGCTTTTTCCTTCGTCTTAAAAACCAGACCAGAAAAAATTCCCCGTCTGAACGTCAGACGAAACCTTTTTTTGGTATATACTTTTCAGACGGGCTTAAATCCTAGCAAGAGCCCTGGTGCATAGTACCCATATGAACGAATCGGTACCGTATACGGTACAAATCAGTGGTACCGTATCGCCCCGGATATAAGCGCAGGCCTATTAAAAGCGCATGCGCTTATATCTGGAGCAATGCGCTTATGGCCGATCCTCAATTAAAAGCGCACCCCCTGTAAAACCCTGTTTTATTATAAGCGCATGCATAATTTTAAATTTAAAACCTCCTAAACACGGCAACGAGTTTCAAATTTGAAGCGAGCCTAATTTCATAATCGCTTCGTTTGACTCTCGAAGACCTCAGAAGCTGCGCGTCAAGTCAAGATGTGCTGGCACAGGGGCAAACTGACGTGTCTTTGCCCCTGCGTGTTGGAAAAAAATCGCTAGCGCGCGATTCTGATTCCTGGCGCTATAAAATTGTCAGAACTATATTGTAGGATGTAGTGGGGCACTCCTTATGGGGTACAGTATTGTTAGGTTTTGCCTATACAAACCTTGTACTGTCCTGTTTCTAGTCATTCTTGTTTCCTACCTTGTGACATGGTATTAGAGCAGAATCGTTCCTAGGGCCCCACCGAACGTTCCGCCCTGCCCTAACTGATTTTTTTTTTTACGCTGCCTCTGCAGCCTGCACGCCGCCCTGCCGAGCCGCGTGTCACCCCTGCAGCCAGTGGGCGCTGCCTTTGCAGCCAGCGCGCCACCCTGCCGAGCCGCGCGTCGCCCCTGCAGCACGTGGGCACTGCCCCTGCGACCCGCGCGCCGCCCTGCCGAGCCGCGCGTCGCTCCTGCTCGTCGCGACGCCTCTGCGGGACCCGCGCGGCGTCGCCCCTGCTTGTCGCGGCGCCCCCTGGGCGCCGTCCCTGCTCGTAGCGGCGCCCCCTGGACGCCGCCCCTACTCGTCGCGGCGCCCCCGGGGCGTCGCCCCTGCTTGTCGCGGCGCCCCCTGGGCGCCGTCCCTGCTCGTCGCGGCGCCCCCTGGGCGCCGTCCTTGCTCGTCGCGGAGCCCCCTGCCGCAGTCGCGGCCCCGCCCTGCAGCAGCTGCCGCGGAGCCCCCCTGCCGCCGTCGCGGCCCCGCCCTGCAGCAGCTCCCGCGGAGCCCCCTGCAGCAGTCGCGGCCCCGCCCTGCAGCAGCTGCCGCGGAGCCCCCTGCCGCCGTCGCGGCCCCGCCCTGCAGCAGCTGCCGCGGAGCCCCCCTGCCGCAGTCGCGGCCCCGCCCTGCAGCAGCTGCCGCGGAGCCCCCTGCCGCCGTCGCGGCCCCGCCCTGCCGCTGTCGCGGCCCCGCCCTGCAGCGGCGCGGCCCCACCAGGCCGCTGTCGCGGCCCTGCCCTGCCGCCGACGCGGCCCTGCCCTGCCGCTGTCGCGGCCCCGCCCTGCAGCGGCTGTCGCGGCTCTGTCCTGCCGCGGTCGCGGCCCTGCCCTGCAGCCGCTGTCGCGGGCCGCCGTCGTGCGCCTGCCCTGCCGCCGCCCGCCGAGCGTCGGCCCTGCTCGCCCGGTGAGCGCCTGCCCTTCCTGCCCCTGGTGAGCACCTGCCCTACCCACGCTTCCCGCACGCCTGCCTTACTAGCGCAATGCCGCGCTAGCCTGCCTGCCTGCCTGCTGCGCCTGCCTGCCAGTCGAGCCGCGCCACCCAGCTGAGCCGCGCCGCCCAGCCGCGCCGAGTCGCCCAGCCGAGCCGCCCAGCCGAGCCGCGTCGTGCTGTCGGGCTGTGCATCCCTGCTCTCCTGAGCCGCGCTGCCCTGCCCGCGCTGCTACTGCTGCTATGACTGCTACTGCTGCTACTGGCGGTGGCCAGATGCAGCTCCAGCGACGTCCGCGCGAGTCTCTCACGCCCCAGCAGCTTCGTGAGTGGTACGCTAGTTGGGGTTGTGGCGGTGGCCGTCGTGGCTGTCGCCCTGGAGCTGGTCAGTCGGAAGCGTCTGGCGGTGGCCAGATGCAGCTGCAGTGGCGTCAGCGCGAGTCTCTCACGCCCCAGCAGCTTCGTGAGTGGTACGCTAGTTGGGGTTGTGGCGGTGGCCGTCGTGGCTGTCGCCCTGGAGCTGGTCAGTCGGGAGCGTCTGGCGGTGGCCAGATGCAGCTGCAGCGGCGTCCGCGCGAGACTCTTACGCCCCAGCAGCTTCGTGAGTGGTACGCCCAGAGTAGAGGGTCACGGAGTACTGCTCGCTGCCCGTATGTCATTCGCACAGGTGCTCGGGCTGGTCAGCCTTGCGGGACGGTTGGTCACACAGAGTCCCGCTGCTTCTCCTATCTGAGCGACGCCTGGCGTACAGGTATAGAGTCTGCTACTCTAGGTGCTGGTGAGGCTGCTGCTCTAGGTGCTGTCACAATAGATTTATATCTATTTAGTATAATCTGCCTGTAGTGTAGCTGTTGTGTAATTCCCTTGTATGGTGGTGCACCTCTTTCACATTTGTTAGGTTGCTATATGTACTCGTGTGCTATAGTGAACCTTCACCCATTCTCAATTCTCACTTGGCACAACTCATTCGACACCCGCTTGGCCTAGGCTTCTAAGCCTAGGCCCTCCTTAAACCCGGTTACCAGTTAAGACACTATCGTAACATGGTATCAGAGCAGTTCCTTCCTAAGGACCGAAATGCTTTCCATGGGCCCACCAATTTTGCCATCTGCCATGGCGACCTATCATGCTGCTGGCGCGTTTGCTACTGCTAGTAGCGTGGAACGTGGAGCTGCTGGCGCGAAATCCGCTGCTGGCGCAATTTCTGCTGCTTACGCTGCACCCGTCGCGCTGCCCCCTGTCGCTCCGCCCGTCGCCCAGCCCGTCGGGTCGCTTCGTCGCGGCTCACTGGCGCGGCCCCTTCTCGTCACCCCCTGTCGCGGCTGTTCCCGTGTGCAACGACAACCGCTGTGGGGGCGGAGAGGTACGGGGGAAGGGCGTTGCGGTCTCAGGTGTCGCTGGCGTTGGCGCTGTGGGGGGGGAGGTTCAAGGGGTGTGGGTGGTGAAATTCCAGCTGCAACATCAGCAACTGCCTCCTCCTCCTCCTCTCATCTCCTACCGTGCACCTCTCGTGCTCCCGTGATCCTGTGCTACTCATGCTCTGCCCCGTGGTCCTGTGCTGTCCCGTGTTGCCCGTACTTCCCCGTGCTTGCCCCGTGCCCGTGCCCGTGCTGTCTGCCCGTGTTCCATGTGCTTCTGCTTGTGCTCTACCCGTGCTGTTTGTTCCCGTGCGTGCCCCACCTGTACCATCCGCGCTGTCAGTGCCCGTGCTGCCCCGTTCTGCCCGTGCTACCCCGTGCTCCTGTGCTGCCCCCGTGTTCCCATGCTGCCCCCGTGCTGCCCCCGTGCTGCCCCCATGCTGCCCCCGTGCTCCCGTGCTGCCCCCGTGTTCCCATGCTGCCCACGTGCTGCCCCCGTGCTCCCGTGCTGCCCCCGTGCTCCCGTGCTGCCCCGCTCTCCCCGTGCTGCCCCGTTCAGCCCTTGTGCTGCCTCGTTCTGCCTGTGCTGCCCCGTTGTCCCCGTGTTGCCCCGTTCTGCCCGTGTTGCCCCGTTCTGCCCGTGTTGCCCCGTTCAGCCCGTGTCCTGCCCCGTTCAGGCCGTGTCCTGCCCCGTTCTGCCCGTGTTGCCTCGTTCAGCCCGTGTCCTGCCCCATTCTGCCCGTGTTGGCCTGTTCTGCCCGTGCTGCCCCGTTCTGCCCATTTGTGTCCTACCCGTGCTGTCCGTACCCGTTGGTGCCCCACCCGTGCTGTCAGTTCTCGCTCGTGCCCCACCCGGTCTGTGCTGCCCGGTCTCGTGCTGCCCGTCACCCCCGTGCGGCCCGTCCCGTACAGCACCTAGTTGCTACCCGAACCCGCTACCCGTACCCGTGCTCCTCGCACACCGTGCACCAGCTGCGGGGCGTTCAACTGCAGCCGAGAACCTGTTCCACCGTGGTGGTTCAGATGCTGCTTGGTGGTTGCTGCTTGTCAGCTTCAGAGGGGGCCCCTTGCTGGTGTTCCCACGCCCTGTAATAGGGTTTTACAGCTGTACCCCTTCAAGGGGGGCTCTGCACATGGTTATGCACTTCAGGCAGATAGGGGGTGTGTCACAATAGATCTATATCTATTTAGTATAATCTGCCTGTAGTGAAGCTGTTGTGTAATTCCCTTGTATGGTGTTGCACCTGTTTCACCTTTGTTAGGTTGCTATATGTACTCGTGTGCTATAGTGAACCTTCACCCATTCTCAATTCTCACTTGGCACAACTCATTCGACACCCGCTTGGCCTAGGCATCTAAGCATAGGCCCTCCTTAAACCCGGTTACCAGTTAAGACACTATCGTAACAGGTGCTGGTGCGTCTCCTACTCCAAGTGCCGGTGAGGCTGCTGCTCTAGGCGCTAGTGAGTCCAGTGCTCCAGGTGCTGGTGAGTCTGCCCTCTCTGGTACTGCGCCAGCTACGGCCTTGCACACTTTCACCCTTGACTCAGTGCTCCAGGTGCTGGTGAGTCTGCCCTCAGGTGTGTCCTAGGACGCAGTCGAGCCGGTCGAGGTAGCTGTTGACTCTGGCGCTGCTAGGGGTGCTGAGCCTGCGGGTGCCGGGTCTGGGGGTGCTGAGCCTGAGCTTGTGGAGCCTGGGGGTGCTGAGTCTGGGGGTGCTGAGTCTGGGGGTGCTGAGCCTGGGGTTGCTGAGTCTGGGGGTGCGGAGCCCGAGGGTGCTGAGCCTGCTCGTGTGGAGTCTGGAGGTGCTGAGCCTGGAGGTTCCTCGGGTGCTTCGTCCCGACGGGAGCCTCTCTCTCCACAACAGCTGCGCGAGTGGTTTGCTCGGTGCTGGAGCCGTGCTGATGGAGCTGGTGGTGCTACGGGCGCTGGAGGTCCTGGTGCTGCTGGAGCTGCTGGGGGTTCTAGAGCCACTGGTCCCGGAGGTGCTCGTACTGGAGGTACTGGAGCTGCTGGGCCTGGTGGTGCTGCTGGGGCTAGAGCTGCTGAAGGTGCTGGAGCTGGCGGTGTTGCTGGAGAAGGCGCTACTGGAGGCACTGGAGCTGGCGCTACTGGAGTTGCTGGGCCTTCTGGTGGTCCTGCTAGAGCTGGAGCTGCTGGAGGTGCTGGCGTTGGAGGTGCTGCTGGAGCCTGTGCTCCTGGGGGTGCTGGAGTTGGCGCTACTGGAGCTGCTGGAGGTGCTGCTGGAGCTGGTGGTGCTGTTGGAGTTGGAGCTGGCGCTGGGGGTGCTGGTGCTATCCCTGCTGGTTCTAGAGGCGCTGCGCGGCCGCGGCCGTACTTTGTTCCGCTCCTTCAGCAGGTTCTTGGTCTCCCGCCTTCTACTGGTCCTGCTTCTTCCTTAGAGTGTCCACCGCCTGTCCAGTCGCAGTCACAGTTACAGCCCGCCTCCCCACTGCCTGCTCCTTCTCCTTACACTGGTCCGACCGGAGGTCTTACGGAGCGTCGTGAGCTTGAGTCTCGTCCTGCGTCGCCTGTTCGTGCTGCTCGTGTCGAACTTATATGCTGTAGCCTTTCTAGGCTGTAGTGGGGTAGACAGTATGGGGTACAGCTTTCTAGGGTTTCATATTTGTACCCAACTGATTTCCTAGTTCACATCATTCTCGTTCACAGGTTCCCTAGTGGGAACGCTTCCTAGGGCCCACCACGATCATTTTTTTTTTTTTTCTCCTGCCCGGAGCGCGCTTCGCTCCTGCCCGAGTCGCGCCCCGTCTGCCCTCCCTCCCGTCACGTCCCTAGCCCTTAGCGGCCCGACGCGCCCTCTTAAGGCCCCTCGCGGCCCCTTTCACGGCCCCTCGCGGCCCCTTCGCGCCGCCCTTAGCGGCCCCTCTCACGGCCCTTCGCGGCCCCTTACGGCCCCTCGCTGCCCCTTATGGCCCCTCGCGCTGCCCTTCGCGGCCCCTTACGGCCCCTCGCGCCGCCCCTCGCGGCCCCTTCGCGGCCCGACGCCGCCCTTCACGGCCCCGTCGCCGCCCTTCACGGCCCCTCACGGCCCCTTACGGCCCCTCGCGCCGCCCTCTAGCGGCCCCACCGCCGCCCCTCAGCGGCCCCGTCGCCGCCCTACCGCGGCCCCGTCGCCGCCCTCTAGCGGCCCCGCCGCCGCCCTTCAGCGGCCCCGTCGCCGCCCTACCGCGGTCCCGTCGGCCCCGTCGCCGCCCTACCGCGGCCCCGTCGCCGCCCTCTAGCGGCCCCACCGCCGCCCTTCAGCGGCCCCGTCGCCGCCCTACAGCGGCCCAGTCGCCGCCCTCTTGCGGCCCCGACGCCGCCCTACAGCGGCCCCTTCGCCGCTCTATGCGCCCCCCCCCCCTCACCAGCCCTGCCACCGCCGTCGCTGCGCTGCCGCAGCTGCAGCCGAGCCGCCGAGCCGCCGCCGAGCCGCCGAGCCGCCGCCGTGCCGCCGCCGAGCCGCTGCTGAGCCGCCGAGCCGCCGCCGCCGCAGCTGCGGCCCTGTTCCTGCAGTCGCGGCCCTGTCCCTGCCGGCCTGCCTCGGCCCGCCCCACCTGCCTGGTAAGAGCAGCGCCTCTGCCACTGCACTGCCCTACCCCGCTGCTCTCTCTGCCAGTCTACTGCTGTCATCGCCACCCCCAGTGTTCTCACCTTTGACGCTGAGGGTCGGGCTGTTGACTTTGAGGTCTGGGTAGATGATCTGCAGCTTTTCCTACAGTGCGATAGGGCACACGGTCTCTCTCTGTTTGACCTCACCTCTGGTGCCTCTCCTGCCCCTGCTGCTGATGCTGACGCCACTGTTCGCTCGCAGTGGGCCACGCGCGATGCTGCTGCTCGCCTTGCTGTGCGCCGCCACTTACCGACCGCTGAGCGCGCGCATTTTAGTCAGTACAAGAGTGCTAAGACCTTGTACGACGCTGTCGTTGCACGCTACTCTTCCCCTGCCACTGCTGCCCTTAGCCGCCTCATACTGCCGTACCTCTTCCCTGACCTCGCCGCTTTTCCCACAGTCGCTGACCTCATTACGCACCTTCGCACTAGTGACATTCGCTACCGCGCTGCGCTTCCTGCTGAGTTCTGCGCCAAGAACCCCCCCCCCCTATGTACATCACCCTCTACTACATAGTCACCCGGCTCCCTGACACCCTTCGCTCGGTCAGGGACCACTTCCTCTCTGTTTGCCCCACCACCCTCACCGTTGACCTCCTCGAGGAGCGCCTCCTAGCAGCAGAAAAGAGTATAGTCGCTGTAGGAGCCTCTCGTGGTGACCCTCGTACCCCTGTCTTTGAGGGGTGCTCCCCCTCCCCCCTCTTGCCCTCTGTTGCCTCTGCTGCTGCGGCCGACCTCGTTGGTCTTGAGTCGGTCGGCGCGGCATCTGCCCCTAGCGGGAGACGCCGCCCAGGCAAGGGCAAGGGGGGCAAGGGCGCTGGAGGGGCTGGCGGGGGCGGTGGAGGCGGCGGTGGAGGCGGCGGAGGGGGTGGGGGTGGCGGTGGGGGTGGTGGCGGGAGTGGGGGCGCTAGTGGCGGCAGTGGAGGCGGAGGAGGCGGCGGTGGTGGCGGTGCGAGCGGAGGTGGTGGAGGTGGAGGCGGTGGTGGAGGTAGCGGCGGCGGAGGTGGAGCTGGTCGGGGCGGCTCTTCGCAGCAGGTCGGCTCCGGTGGTGGTCAGCGCCAGCAGCAGCAGCAGCACCGCACTCGTGAGACCCCTTCCCCCCAGCAGCTTCGTGAGTGGTACGCTGCTCGTCAGCGGGGTGGGGGTGCTGGCCCCTGTACCTACGTTCTACGTACAGGCGACCGCGCGGGTGAGCGGTGTGGTGGTCTGCACTCCACCCAGCGCTGCTTCGGCCGCCTGACGGAAGCTTGGCGTCATCAGTTTCCCGACGCTACTGAGATCCCTCGCTGGGGCGAGCTGTCTAGGGCGGGTGTTGCGATCTGGACGTGTGGGGCCCAGCCCGCGTCCGTGGACAGGGTCACGAGCGTTACTTCCTGCTGGTGGTTGACGACTACTCGCGTTACACCACAGTCTTCCCCTTGCGCAGCAAGGGTGAGGTCACTGAGGTGTTGATCGCCTGGATCCGCGCAGCTCGTCTCCAGCTCAGAGAGAGTTTCGGCTCGGACTTTCCTGTTCTGCGTCTGCACTCTGACAGAGGCGGAGAGTTCTCCTCTGACCTTCTGCGAGCCTTCTGTCGTGCACGAGGCATCCGCCAGACCTTCACGCTTCCGGACTCTCCGCAGCAAAATGGGATTGCTGAGCGCCGCATTGGCATGGTCATGGACGTCGCTCGTACGTCCATGGTCCATGCGGCTGCCCCCCAATTTCTGTGGCCGTTTGCGGTTCGGTACGCGGCGCATCAGCTCAACCTTCAGCCCCGAGTCTCCATGCCGGAGACCTCCCCTGCTTTACTGTGGACGGGGAAGGTTGGCGATGCGTCTGCGTTCCGTGTCTGGGGATCTCGGGCGTTTTTTCCGCGACTTGTCTGCGGACAAGCTGTCCCCTCGTGCTGTTCCCTGCGTCTTCCTTGGCTTCCCCCCTGACGCGCCGGGCTGGCAGTTCTACCACCCCACCTCGCGCCGTGTTTTGTCCTCCCAGGACGTCACGTTTGACGAGTCGGTTCCCTACTACCGTCTCTTCCCCTACCGCACTGCGTCCCTCCCCCCCCCGCCGCTCTTCCTTATGCCAGATCCCCCTCCGGTAGACCCCCTCCCCCCTCAGGGTCCTGCCCCCTCAGGTGTGTCTCAGGTAGACGCAGTCCACCCTGTCGAGGTAGCTGTTGACTCTGGTGCTGCTAGGGGTGCTGAGCCTGCGGGTGCTGGGTCTGGGGGTGCTGACTCTGGGGGTGCTGAGCCTGGGGGTGCTGACTCTGGGGGTGCTGAGCCTGGGGGTGCTGACTTTGGGGGTGCTGAACCTGGGGGTGCTGACTCTGGGGGTGCTGCGCCTGGGGGTGCTGAGCCTGGGGGTGCTGCGTCTGGGGGTGCTGAGCCTGCGGGTACTGCGTCTGAGGGTACTGGACCAGCTCGTGTGGCGTCTGGCGGTACTGGGCCTGGAGGTTCTTCGGGTCCTTCGTCCCGGCGGGAGCTACTCTCTCCACAGGA